ACACCAAAGTTGAACTAAGTCAAAGTTTTAATAAAAATAAGGCCTTGATATTAGTTTTGGAGGCTCATACCTAAGTACTTAAGAGTGTCATTTGATGCAGTTATTTTCATAGAACCATAGAAGCTTTTGAATTGGAATTTGAATTTCAGCATCTCTGAAATGAATATGGACACCTATGGCTGGATCAAGTTGCTCAGAGCCGTGTGCAGCCTGACCTTGGATGTCTCCAGGGACAGAGTATCCACCATCTCTCTGTGCAATCTGTGCCAGTGCCTAACGTGCAAAAAATATATATATAAATAAAAATAAAAAAAATGTCCATCCCCTTCATTCTCATAGCCTCCCTTTAGATACTGAGAGACTACTCTCAAATCTCCTCAGAGCTCTCTCAGCCCATCCTCAAAGGAGAGGTGTTCCATCCCTAAGACTGTTTTTGTGCCTTCCTCTGGACATGCTCCACCAGGTCCACATCTCTCTTGTACTGAGGACTCCACACCCAGACACAGTACTCCAGGTGATGCCTAGTCAGCACAGAGCAGAGGCAGGATCACTTCCCTCACCCTGCTGACTACACTTTTGACGCAGCCCAGGATCCGCTTGGCTTTCTGGGCTGTGGGAACACGTTGCTGGCTCATGTCCAGCTTGCCATTCACCAGTACCTCCAAGCGCTTTCCAGCAGGCCTGTGCTCCATCCTTACATCCCCCAGCTTGTACTGATAGCAGGAGTTGCCATGACCCAGGTGTAAGACCTTTCACTTGGATTTATTGAACCTCTTGATGTTCACCTGGGCCCACTGCTCAGCCTGCCCAGGTCTGTCTGGGTGGCATCTTGTCCCTAGGATGTGTCAGCTGCATTATACAGCTTATATTATATTATTATTATTATATTATTATTATACAGTTTATTATACAGTGTCATCTGCAAACTTGTGGAGGGTGCACTTGATCACACCGTCAATGTCATTGATGAAAATATTAGAGAGCACTGGTACTGACCCCTGAGGGACACTGCTTTTCTTTCAGATTTTGAGTATTTAGGAGCTCCTACTGCCTTAAGGGACATTCACTTTTCTAGTCAGGCAGAGGCAATGACCACTATTATTGAACTGGAAGAGACATTTTCTTTTTTACAAGTGCTTTGTAGTATAAGGTCAAATTTGATGTTGCTGTTGTTGTGGTCCTTGTATTTTTTTATGTTGTTGTTTATTTTAAGTAAGTATTTGAGTAGTTGATCAGCATTTTGTATTCAAGTATGATAAAATTATAACTCCTTTTAAAAAAAACTGCTAAGTAGTCAGAAATTTATTTTATTTCTGAATACAGGTAACAGTATTATAGAACAGTAATATGATACTAGAACAAGAAACAACGCATTAATATCCAAGTATATGAAAAGAAAAATAAATCTCTTGTAGTCTTAGAGATATAGGTATTTCAAATGGCCTCAGTTCTTGCAAACAACAATTTTTGCTTGATTTTACATGAGTAACCAGCAAAATGCTTGCAGGTTAGTGGACTTAAAATATGACTATACTTATTTTTAGCATTTTTGGTTGAATAATATCGTGGCCTAACAAAACCCAGTTATGTATTTTTAAAGGATGACTTTCAGGAGTTCATGTATCTTTTAGAGCAGTCTCCTTAACCCAGATGTGTCTGGTTAAAGTGGTTGTGAGAAGCTGACTACTTTGGACCAATGAATGAGTATTTCTTAAAGTCGTTCACTTTTGAGGTCTGAAGTAATATAAATGTAGTACCAGTAGTGCTCATTTGAAGCCCCAGAACTGAACTACTGGATAAATCTTCTATTGGGAACAGTTTCAAAGTACCACAGTTAGGAACCTACATTCTCAATAATCGTTGTTCAAGAACTGCTATAGAATGTCATGAAAAGAAGAGTTAATACCATAGAATCACAGAAACATAGAATACCCCAAGTTGGACCCACAGAGGACCATCGAGTCCAACTCCAGGCTTGGCAGAGGTCTACCCAGAATTCAAACTCTGTGTAGGAAAGTGGTATCTGAACACTCCTTGAACACCGGCACTTGGGGCCCTGCACATCCTGTTCCATGCCCACCACTTTCTGGTGAAGAACCTTTTCCTAATCCCTAACCTAACCTTTCCCTGCTGACGCAGCTTCATGCTGTTCCCTCAGGTCAACTTTGGCATGTATTATTTTTAATCTCATTAAAGAGAAAATGAGTTATTTCCTCCTCCCCTTTTTTTTTTTTTTTTTTTTTTTTTTTACATATAAATTGTAAGTTAAAGATGTTTTAACAACTATCTTCTGTGAAAGTATCCTCTCCACAGTGAGGGATCCTCTCCACAGTGAGAGGAAAAATCTCCACAGGGATTTTTATTGATAGTTCTTAATTCAAATTTATGGTTTTCATTTATTCATAGGATGAAAGTTCTTTTTCACTTGGCTTCAATGTTACTTATGGTTTTATGACTGAGAGTTTCAGTTTGCTGTGAAATTACGGGAGTCCTGTAACTGCCATTTTCTCACTACCTGCATGAATTAGAGAGTAGAAAAATCTTGATTTCTATGTACAAACTGAGCTTAGGAGTCAAATATTTCTGGTTGTGCAGTACGGATTCTCCTTGTTGGAAGTGCAGGAAGTATTGCCTTTTTCCACTGTTTGTCACATTCCTATGCAACTTGCTCCCCCTGAACTCTACTGTTCCTCAGAGCACCAGAATAATCAGAGCACTGAGCATGATGTTACCTTGTCGTAAGTGTACAAAGAGCACTGACCTCTGCCAAGAATTTGTCTTTCAATATGGGAGGCTGTGAATTCACATTGAGGCGCTCATCTGAACCATAGGCTTCTCTTTGTTTCCCCTGGAGGAATGCAGACTCTGCCACAGAGAGAAATTCCTATGTTAAGAAGAAGTAGGAAGAGTATAATTGCTAATGGTTGTCTGCTATCTTGTACCATAGAGAAAGATGACAAGGGAGACCTAATGGTCTCAGTGCAGGCTGCTTCTGAGCCTATCTACCGCTATGGGAACCCTTAATAAAACCTTGCATTTGCTTTGGTTCTTTTCTTCCCTGTATAGACGAAAATTATCAAGGATCTAGGTAACTTGCAATCATTCATTTTGGGGAGTGATAGCAGTCACGTGCTTGAGTGTGGCATCTAGTCTAATGAAATACATTTTTGTTTAGATGTTAAAATGTTCTGTAACATTACTGTAACTTGTAGGCATGGCTCCAAGCAATCTTTGATTTTTAATTTTTTTTTATTTTGGAGGGGGGGGGAAGTATCATTGGTAAGTAAGAATGTCCTTCTTGCCAGAAACTCCAGAAAACCTTCCTGTCCATTTCAGTGTTGCTGACTAAAGCAACAAATCCCATTTCAAACAGCAGTCTGGAAGTTGTCTCAGTGTGGTTTGCCTAGCATTGTATTGTGTGCCAGCATTACTGTGTTCTGGGTTTGTTGGTGCAAAGGCAATAACCATTTGGTTTTAATGAAAAAAGAAGTCTGGCAAGAGAAATGTTTTTTTGAGAAGTAGGAACCTATATTTTTATTTTTCCATCTTTTAAATGCAGGCCATTTTACCTAATAATGCTTTAAAAACAGAACAGTACATCCCAACTACAAAACAAAAAGTGAATTGAAAGAAGTTGGAGGAAATGGAAAGCTGTAATTCTTTCATTATTCCATGCAATCCGGTAATACAACTACAGGAAGAGATAGAAATTGCTTTTAAAGCTTCTTTGTTACCACCACAGTACTAAAAACTAAGAATCAATAGGTAACAAATATGTCTACAGGTTATAAGTATGTGGTAGGAAGAGTGATGGTGAGAAACTTGCATAAAGTACTCCAGTAGCTGTAGATTGGCTGAAGGACAGTGATGATAGTAAGCAGAAAGAAGATCTGGGGAAATGATAAGTAAGATGAAACAGAGATGCACAGAGCAGGGATGCTTACTGTGGGTGGCAAGAGCATAATCAAGAAATGAACAAGCGAGCTTTGGTATTTCCTTCTTCCTTTTTGGTCCCCTTTTAAAGGAGACATGCATTTATTTCAGTCATTCTTGCGTCAGAAACAGCATTGCCAGCAGGAGCAGGGCAGTGATTGTCCCCCTGTACTCAGCTCTGGTGAGGCCAGACCTCGAGTACTGTGTGCAATTTTGGGCCCCTCACTGCAAGAAAGACATTGAGGCCCTGGAACGTGTTCAAAGGAGTGTGACAAAGCTGGTGAGGGGTCTGGAACACAGGACTTATGGGGAGCGGCTGAGGGAGCTGGGAATGTTCAGCCTGGAGAAGAGGAGGCTCAGGGGAGACCTCATTGCTTCTATAACTACCTGAAGGGAGGCTGTAGTGAGCTGGGGGTCGGCCTCTTCTCTCGTGTAGCTGGTGATAGTAGTAGAGGGAATGGCTTCAAGCTGCACCAGGGGAGATTTAGGCTTGACGTTAGGAAATACTGCTTTTCTGAAAGAGTGGTCAGGCACTGGAATGGGCTGCCAGGGAGGTGGTGGAGTCACCGAGCCTGGAGGTGTTCAAGGAACGTTTGGATTTTGTGTTGCAGGCATGGTTTAGTGAGAACTATTGGTGGGTGTTTGGACTGGATGATGTTGTAGGTCTTTTCCAACCTTGATAATTCTGTGCAAGTATACAGAGAAGGCTTTCAAAAGACATAACCTGTGCTTTTTTAAAGCTCTGCTGCCATTAGACTTCTTAAAAGATGGGGTTTGGGGGCATCTGCTCAAAAAAAAAAACAAAAAAAAAGGATTCAGAGTGGTCTTATGATGCTGAGTAGTGGAGGCTGTGGTGAGGAGCATACACCCCTCAGTGCTGGCCTGGCATCCTTGTCTACTGTTGTTCACTCTTCCATCTGTATCTCGTGTAAGTACTTGGGTAGGATTGTGCTGGGTTGTGTCCTTGATGGCTGTGGTTCAGATGCTGAGCAGTCTCTGTCCCTTGTTAGAGCTCTCTGTAGGTATTTGTTGCCCAAAATAACCTACATCATCTTTTTTCTCTCTAGAAAAGTTGATTGCATATCAACGGGAATTTCATGCTTTGAAGGAACGTCTTCGTATCGCTGAGCATCGGACCCTGCAACGCTCTTCTGAGCTGAATGCTATCTTGGAGCAATTCAGGCGTGCTGTAGCAGAAACGAATGGAAGTAAGAATGCACTGAATAATTTTTCAGGTACATAATGTGATTGAGGTATTTTTTATAACTCTGGACTATGAACATCTTTGTTACTGTAGAGTGAGAAATTAATACCAAGAAAGCGGAGTGAAACAGTTCAGCAGTATGAATAACGAATCCATGAAATGAATTGTATCTGCTGGCTGCATTTGGTGTGCTTTTTTTTGTTTGTTTGTTTGTTCTTTTTTTTCAATTTCTATTCCTAATGAGCCAGCCACTCTTCACTCTAAGGACTTTTGGGACTTAATACATATGCCATACATAGTTTGGGATATTTTGACAACAACTCACCTCACTTTTTAAATAGAGCTTGAGGGGAAAGATGAGCAAGCATGCTGAGAAAAGGATGAGCTTGAAGCAATTAAAAAAAAGTTTAAAAATCTGCTGGGTTATTTAAAAAAGCATAGAAGATATCTGAAGTATTGGTTGCAATTTGCAGAATGTACCTTTTAATCAACAATAGATTAAATACAGTAGTAGAGTCTTGCATATTTTCTAAATCCATTTCTGAATCTGATAAAATCTGTTCAGTAAACTCTAGAGTTTACTAAGAGCTGTGTTTGGCAATATAAGGGAGCAACTTCTGGCTACTCAGATTATTGAAGGTACCTTTTAAAATCATGTCATAATTGCTTTACTTTCTCTGATATTTTTTTTAGGTTGAAAGTGAATAGCAAAATAAGTGTTTTGGGGCAGAGGTTTGATTTCTTAATTTGCACAAATATCACTAGTACTGGCCTAATGAGGAGGAAAAAAAAGCCTGAAGATTTTTTTTTGCAAATCAAAGCATTGGATAAAGAATTTTAAATCTGTTACCTAGTTGCATTTGTGCTATGACTTACCAGTTTCTATAGTTTTACCTTTTTTTTTTTTTAATTTTTAGAACTATAATTATACAATGGTTATAATAATATCAGACTTTGTTCTGATATTGGCAGGAATTGCTCATGCACTGTATAGCCTGAACCTTTGTAGTTCCCCGAGTCTCCAAAAACAGTATGGACTTGTCTTGTAAGTCCTGTCTTCCTGTTACGTGTGTATCCTTTTTTTGTTAATAACTATAGAGGAAGTTGTATAAACTTAATATTGGATTTGTGATTAATTTATTTCTAAAAATGAGTCAGCTTTATTATAAGCAGTGTAGAGAGTTATTCTTTCCTGATGCAACTGAAGTTACTGGTACATGTTTTTAATGTTTAACCCAACTGCCTATGGAGCATCCTAGCATCCAGTGGGTTTTTTTTGTTGTTGTTGTTGTATTTTTCCCCTTGTGGAGCCATGATTTTAAGTCAGCTGATGTCTGAATTCCTGAGCTTTTGTTCTTACAATGTAGGATTAAATAGATATTACTAAGTTTAATGTACTTCAGTACACATATACTTCATACCGTTTGCTGTCTTTGAATTTGAAACAATTTCAGATTGCTTTCTATAAATTGTTACTCATTCATACAAAAAGCTGTCACATTTTGAGGAAATTTTTAGTCCAGCTTTTGCAGTTGAAGTGAAACTGCAGAAAATGTGAAGCTTATTTTTACTGGAATCTATCAAAAGTAGCATCTCTGCTGAAGATATCTATTTGCAAAGGCATTTTCAAGCTTAGAAGATGTCAGGAATTTAGTTTCATACCCTTCCTACAAAAACCAAAAGAACAAAACAGCCCACCAAACAAAAAAAATTTATCAACATCCAGATCTTCTGTTGTTTTGTTTTTTTTTTTTACTGAAGTTATGCTCAGAATCTGAGAGTAGTGATGTTGATGGCATTACTTTAACCATTCCAGCACAACTCAGATTTTCTTGGGAACCTCGACTCCAGTTTCTGACAACTTGATATTGTAGTGCTTGTAAGGGTCCATGTGCTGTCACAGTGCTTGCTTGGAATGAGACTTGTTTTCGCACATGATGTAAGAAAATTAACGCACAACACAGCAGGGAAAATTGCACTTGACAGCTTTGTGAGGACCACGTGGACGTCCTGAGAGGCAGTGTACTCTAGAAAGAACAAGAAATACTGTAAATGAGGCATTTCCAAACCATGGCCTGTGGGCCACACGTGGCTCTGAACAGCTAGTGATGTGGCCCCACAAGGTCGTACACTTTTAACATTATGATGTGACTTCTAGTGAAATTTTTCGTGAGTTGATTGCATGTATATTGAGCAGAGACTGCATAGGTGACAACTGAATGCTGTGGAGGGAAGGGCACGGCGCAGTGCTAGCTCTGCCTCTCATTGCCCACCACACGCTTGATCAAACTGAAACCCATTTGTATTACGTGTGCTTGTGCCTCTTGCTGAGTAAAATGCAGGGATCACTGATTGATAGTAATATTTCAACCTACCTGCAATGTGTGCGTGCCTGTGAAGATGTGTTTTCTGTTATTAAGTAGACATACAAGTTTTCTCCTTTAATTAATTAAACTGGGGCTTGCGTTATTTACTAAAGTAATTTAATGAGTTCACTACAGAGGAAATACCCAGTGCAGTGCTGACATTTTTTAGCTTTTGGCATCTCACAAAAGTACAAAGTAACTTGTGATGTGGTTTTTAATTAGTTTTGTGATGTGTTTGATTAGTGTTTGTGCTATTGAGCCATACCTTGCTGTGTTAGGTTCACAGAAAAAAGGTCAAATATCTCACTAATTTTAGGGTTTTGTTGTTTGGTTTTTTTTTTTTTAATTACAATATTAATAAAAGGAAGTTTTGTTACTTATATACATGAACTATATTGTATATCTTATATGTGGCCCAGGACTATGTCTCTTCACTAAATGCAGACCAGGCAAGCCACAAGATTAGGCAGACATATTTTAAAATGTCCAATGTGCTAAATTAAATTCACACTAGCATTTATTTTACTCCAAAAATACTCAAAATCTTAATTGTATATTTAATGCTGTATCTGTATAAAATCTGTATAATCTATTCAATATGTTTTGAAAATATAGTTTTTGAAGAGTTAATGCTACTACAATTTGTAGTAGCATTGCTGCATTGTGTTGATTTTGGTAACTGCAAGTAAAAAGTAGGTACATTTTTTTCCATTTTGATCCACTGGGGGGAAAACCCACAGAACAAGCTAAATAAATGGAGCATTCTTCTGTGATTATGCACTGTGTTATGTGATCAATTAAGTACTGAATGTATCTGTTACAAAGTTAGGGAGGAGAATAATCTTGACCATTGTTTATTTTAAAAATTAAAACAAGAAAAGAATTTCTTTTATGTGAGATACAGTGCCTCAGTAAAAACCATCATTGTTCTGTTTTTCTTCTTTTTTTTTTTAGTTAGTTTTAATTGGGAATTTTATGATTTACCACTGCATAAAATTTTTTAATGTTCTTTTTTCCTTGTTACTGATTTTGTGTGTTTGCAGATGAGACGCTGAAACTGCTAAAAGAACTAACAAGTAAAAAATCTCTTCAAGTGCCAAATATTTATTACCATTTGCCTCATTTGTTGAAAAATGAAGGAAGCCTTCAACCTTCTGTGCAGGTTGGCCTTGGAAGGACAGGAGGTATGCTGATAAAATGTTTATTTTATGTTTCGTGTCTGGAGGACATTGTAGTTCTTATAGTACAATTTACTGCATTACTTATTAGATCAAGGACAGCTCATTTAACTTGTGTCATATTGATATCTCTTAGAATTCATACTGAATCCATGATGAAAGGAGTTTGGCTTCAGCTTTGGTCTTTTCTGCATAATATCAATCATGCCTTTTCCCATCTTAAGGTACACTTTAAGAAGCATTTAGTTTGGATGAGTTTATGTTACTAAGTAAAAGAGAAGGAAACAAGTATATTACAGTTTCTGATCTGCTGCTGGGCGTATCTTCTCATCTTTTCCATATGTGTGGCAACCAATACTTGGACATAACTATTTTAGTGTTGGTTATAACTCAGTGTTGGACACACTATGATAATTGCATCGATAAAATGTGGACTGGTTGGAGGGAAAAAAGCAATATTGTGTTGCAGTACTGTTGATCCCCTTTTCTTTTTAATCCTCACAAATTCTAAATATTGGTCATTAGGATAGCTCCACTCAGTCCTACTCCAGGAGCTCTAGAAAGTAAGTAGGGTAAAGCCCAAGCAAGCTGATGAATCTTAAAGTATTGTTTGTCTCCAAGCGTGAGTGTCCCACTGATGGATCCTTACTTCTCTGAGTGTCATCTGATTTGAAGGGCTCATGGTTTATCCTCTAGACCATTTTTTATCTAAACCTTACTACCCTTGCTTTTGAAAGAAACATTAGTTACTCCCGGCCTGTATTTTTTTCATTACTTCAATGAGTTTCATTGCTGCTTCTTTTAACATTAAGAATGCCCGTGTGTCAGATGTGTGAGCTCAAGCCACAGTTATTTTTCTGACTGTAAACATCATTTGTTTCATTGCTGTTATCTGGGAAGGCAAATGTTCTTGTTCTTTATTATTCTAAGTGAAGCTTGTGTTATATACTGTTGGGAATATATGACAGAAGTCTGAAATTACAGAACAGAAATTGGAGTCAGGTTTATTTAATTAAAAAGAGGGAGAAAATTGAGTTAAATTAATTTTCCTGTCTTCCCCTCTCCTGATCAATGCCAAAATCAGCAGAGTCGTTTTATAAGGCTTCTGAGGAGTTAAATACTTGAGTTGTGAAAAATGGCTTTTCCAACAGGAATATTAAGTTAGAGAGGTTAGTTGCTCTTTAACTCTTACCTGATTAATACAGTGGTTGTTGATTCTTACCTGTGTAATAGCCTGACATATCTAGAATTGTGTGGGGTTGTTGTTTTTGGTTTTTTTTTGCAGTGTTTTTTCTGAGCATTTGTGATGATTGTAAATTGCATTCCTGTTTCAGTCTTGTAACTCCTTGCATTTCTTAAGTTATGCTTTATTAAAAAGTTAACTTTTTGATTTTGTTCTTGTGTATGAAATGACTGAAAGTATACATTTCTGTTTTGTTTGATTTCAGTTTCCATTGTAATGGGAATACCTACAGTGAAAAGAAAAGTCAAGTCTTACCTTACAGAAACTCTCCACTCCCTTATTGATAAGCTGTCCCCTGAAGAAAAACTGGATTGTGTTATGGTTGTCTTTATAGGAGAGGTAACACTAGAAATATTTTTATACAGTTTCTAACCTGTCTTTAAACACGGTGCTACTCCTTTCAGGAAGTGAAGCTCTCCTTTTTCTTTGGAACATAAATAGATGACTGTGCCTTTATCTCCTTTTTATGGAAGGAAGGATCTTGTGTTTCTGAGATGAAAGATCACAAAGAGCCCAGCCTTTTCTGTTTATGGAGGGAATAGAGGGCATGGATTCATTGGACTGCTTATTTTGCATGCCTTCTTTTGTTTATACATAGTAACCGAGATGTGTTAATAATCTTATTCCTTTGATATCAAAATAATGACTGAGTCTGTGGTACAGAAGGGAATTTTCTTCTTGCTTATGTTTAGTCCTTCCTTAGGTTGATGCTACAGCTGGAGAAATTACATGCAGATAGTTACTAATTGTATTTTCTGGCCATTCTGGACATTGTATGTCTGGACCTTTTTGATGAACTAGTTCAAACAATATTCAGTTGGATAGTTTGCTCAGTTTGGCTCTGATTTAGCTGAAATCTTAAGGAAAATGATAGACAGCTTTCAGGAATAATTTTGCTGGATACCGAGAACTGCATATAATTATTTTGATGTATATATTTTCTTTCAAGAATCTCATTTGGAACTTGGGAATGTTTGACCTTCATCATCTAACTGTATATTGCTCTGCTGAATCAGTGTTTTGAGTCCCACAGATGAAAACTTGAGTCTACTAGATAACTTGAGTCTACTTGAGTCTACTAGATAACTGTGAAAATCATTTTAATCCTGTGAGCCAGTGCCTATGCCGCTTTTCTGCAAGGAAATATTGTTACTGTTGATTAAGAATATCAGGAGATCAGAATTCATTCTGAATTATTGAAACGCTGAGTTTTCCCATCAGTTCAGTGAAGGAATAGTTTTATTGTCTTTTAGTGTGGCTTCTTTTTAAGGTGTAAAAGTTTCCTTTTGTTTTACTTAAGGAGATCTGAGCTGTGCAGACCATATGATATCACTGGATTCTTGGTCTTCTACAAATCTTAGAATAGGAGCAAAGCAAATCCACACCCCTGTCCACAACTACACAATCTTCTCTTGTTACCTTAGGCAAGTTGTGCTGGTATGCCTGGGTTATCCATAGTTAAATAACTTTATTCCTTTGAGTTTTTTAATTACTTTTTTCTCTTGGGAATTAAATGCTATTTAAATGGCTGCGAAGAAACTCAGCATTTTAAAATGGGAGCTATTGCTTTTCAGCACAAGGAGAAATGTGTTTTACACAAACAGTTGAGTGGGAGCCACTGTATCTCAGGGATTTTGCTGTTTGAGGGGAGCAGGATCTGCTTAACCTCCTATCTGCCATGGGCGCACAGCAAGCCATGAATGTCTGGGAAAATTTGAGAAGACTAGGTTTGAATTCTTATCCCATCATAACCTTTCCTTAGATTTCTGTTTCTTCATTCAGTTTTCTCACCTATTTTACTATTCCTATCCCTGTTTTATATTTCTTAAAGTTCAATATCTTCCAGTCTGTTCTGTAGTTGCTACAGGAAAGTCTTTCAGTGAATAATACGATACAGCAGATAATTCATCTTTAATTGTAATGTGTTTTTATTCTGGATTTTGCTGTATTTCTCAGCTTCTTTCTGCAAGATGGAATATATAGGTTTAATAAGTGTTTTCTCTGGTTATCTGAAGCCTGTTCCCCTCGTGGACTTCTATTTGTACTTTAACAAAATTAAGTGCTTTTGCTTTTAACATAGCTTTGACTGTGGGGTTTCCTAGGCTAAAATGTTAGACCATTGCCAGCATTAACATGTGTGCATTAAGGAAGGCTACTTGAAATACATTCAAACTTTTGCCAGCAGTGCAAGATGGTGGCACAAGCTTCTGAAGGATGATATGGCCTCTGTTAAACGTTTGTGCAGTTTAAGGACTGTGAGAAATGGTCATGATGTGATATAACCTTATTCAGAAGTTTAGAATTACTGTCTCTGCTTTCTCTCTAGCTTGTGCCAACAACAAGGAAAAGTTAGACTTTACAAAAATATTTTTACAAAAGAATTGTTATGAAGAGTGGTATTTTGAAAGGCTTGTACAAGTATTCTCTTGCTGATTCAATTTGAGAAGTTGAATTGGCGGTGTTAATAAGCATTGCTGAGAGACATAGCTATAAGCTGTAATCTCTTTGGTGCTGAGCACCCTAAGAAACTTCTTTTAATGCTTCATTTCTTTCAGCAGTTCTATCTCACTTCTTTCTTATAAATTTGACTTTTTTCACGGAAAACAAATGGAAAGTTACAGCTAATGACCTTCTGCAAACAGCATGAGCAGTGTAAACAGATGAGCTAGTAAATATAGGCTCATTACGGTTGCTAAATAAAGACATCTGCATATTAATTTAGTGTTTGGATATTTCTCAGTAATGTGATTATACACAGTAAATTTCCATACTTGAAAGTTCAAGGAATTCTAAAATATCTTGGTTGACGTGATACCTAATCACCAATTTAAATAATTACTAAAATTGCTTGTCAGAAAGCTGTGCAAGTGTCCCAGTAACTGACATATGTCTGCGTTTTCCAATTTGTTAAAATGATTTTATTGCAGAATAATTTGCAGGGATTCATTAGAGTGACTGATAAGCAGGAACAATTCATTGTACGTCTTCACTTTTTCTTCCTCTTAACTGTGCAGCATGTTCAGATGATTTGAAACAAACGATTCATATCTCATTAACTTGCTTTGTGTGGAAACTTGTTTTTTGACTAAGCTGTAGGCTCTGGGTTTAAAATATCCATGAGCATCAGATTAAAGTGACTGTCTAGCATTTTTATTTCATAAGGATTGCAAATAAGAAGAGAAACTTGGTTTTGAAACATCCACATCATAGTGGAACAACAGACAGGTATGCTACTGAATATGAGAGAGATTAAAATACTTTTGTGGTATCCAAACAAGATTTAAAAGAAATAAATAAATAACTGTTGGAAGGTCCCATTTAATGAAAATGTCTTAGACTCGCTCTAAGTACATCACAAATGATTGCCAGTCCGCCTGATTAATCAGTGACTATGCTCAGCGTAATCTTTCTTACAAGCATATTGGAAAGACAAGAAGCCCTTAATTTCACCAAGAATGTGAAAAAAAAAAAAAACCACAAATCATTTCAGAAATCAGAAGACATAGCCATGCAGAAGTAGTTTGCTAATGTTGTGTGCTACTGATTACGTCTGATTGGGCAGTGATTGTCACAGAATCACAGAATTGTAGGGCCATTGCCCAGCCACTTACTATTGGAGCACCAGTCTGCACGCTTCCCTTTCTTGCATATCAGTTATTCTAGTCTTACTCTGCTCTTCCTTATGTAAATGACTCAGGGTAAAAACATTTGAACTTTATATGTCTTCTGTTGTTACCCTGTCAACTGCTTATGTGAACAGCGGCTGCTAAATTAAAAGTTGTTAATCTTCAATGGTGTTTTCTCTGTCTTCCTCTTGTGGAGAATCTTTCATTATTACTATTATTATTATTATTATTTTTTTTTTTGCAAGGTTTGTCTGGTGGCTGGGCCAGTACAACGCAAGCACCCAACAAAGTACTGTCCTGGGTACCATCCTGTTGTCATAGTTTTGGCTGGCACAGACTTTTGTTTGCCTTGTGGGGGCCTGTGTGGTGCAGTGTCTTGGATCTGTGATGAAAATAGTGGTGATGGAAGCACACTGATGTTTTAGTTGTCATTGACCAGTGGTGTGCAGAGGGAAAGACTTCTGTGCTACCCTGCCTGCAAGGAGATCAAGGAGCTAGGAGGGGAGGGTCACAGCCAGGACAGCTGACCCAAACAGTCCGAGGGGACATCCCATACCATATGGGGACATACTCAGAATAAAAGCTGGGGGAATGAACCTGCACGAGGAGAGACATTCAGAGCAAGGGTGCTTGTCTTCCCACACAATAATAATGTGTAATGAGCCTGGTTTTCCTGAAAGTAGCTAAACATCTGCCTGCTGATAAGTACTAGTGAATGAGTCATTTTTCTTTGCTTGCATTGCTTTTGCTTTACCCAGCAAACCATCTTTATCGCCACCCATGGTTTTTTTCACTGTTACCTTTCTGTTTCTTTCCCAAATCCCATTGTGGGAAGAGTAAGTGAGCAGTTGTGCAGTGCTGGGCAGCATGCCAGGGTTAAACCATGCCGCTTGTGCACTGGTATGAGCAAAGCTTTAGTGAATTAAGCACTGAGTGCACACTCTGGGCCAAACCCTGCCCAAACTGATTTGGAAGTAGTGACATTAGAATGCAAAATGGTAAACTTCTCCAGAAAAATAGGCAAGCCTTATATTTGCCTTTTCTAGCTGTGGGCTGGAATTAGAGATGTCTTTGATATATCTCTTGATAGGTTTAAAAAAAAAGTGTATTTTGTCTCTTGCTCTCAGCCCAGACAAATTTATATTGTCCTGGCTACAGAGACACTTCATTCTTTCTGTTAATCACTGAGAATGTGAACACTGCTGAAGAATCGTGTTCCAAGTTCTCAGATGATTTAATCACACATCTTGAGTTGGAGGAAGACCACTAGATGTTGGCATAAGCACACACTTTACACGCATATACATGTGTATGAATGTGTGTATATTAAATAAAAGTGAAAACTAGACAAGGCTGTTGCGCTAAATTTATATTATGTTCACCAGGTAATTTTAAATATAGTCTTTTTTTTGGACATCTAATTCAAAACTCTGCTCAGGATGAACGCGGTTGCTACATATAATGCTAGCTCTTATATCTAGAGGGGTAGCTCAGGCTACCAATTAGTTTGAGGTATTTATTTAAGCTGCTATTGTAATCTCAGCTTCTTTGGCACCTAGAAAATGTGGACTGCTGACACTGGGCACCGTCACAGGGATTTACATTCCTCTTTTCATAATAATGGCTAGCAAAACTTTATATGGCATTAAACCAGTGATACGATCTGAGCTCTCAAAAAGGATTCTTGACAGGAGTTTGAAACCTGCCATGGAC